TAACTAAATCTCGTATATCACTAAACAAACACAGATGCCCAGCGAAGTTCAATATATGTGAGTGTATTTGGTTTTCACTCTCAATTCATCTAACTTTCCTTATAAGTATCAGGATTACAGTTCTCACAATTCCAACCCAATACGGTCAGATGTTTCGAATTTAGGGACTTCTAGACACAACATAAATCCCCTTAATTCAAAATATTTTGCCAACTAATCATTGGTCAAAAATTCCTCTTTGGGGGGAATTTGAAAGGATATGTGCTTTGTAACTGCAGATGTTTTATCTCAACTCTTTTAAAATCTTGATTCAAGCCTTGTTTAATGAGATAAAAACCATTGTCTCCTTGACAGATGAGTTCTTGCAAAATGAGACTTTTGGTCCTATGGAAGCCTGCATGACTTCTGATTCTGCTGGCTGTGTTATTCTTCTGGAATAGCCAGAAGGAACAGCCTCAGACAGAAATGTTAGGTAACTGTGCCTCTCTTGCCCATGGTGCTGTTTAATATCTTTATGAAACTGGTAGAAGCTGGCATCAGACTTCAAGTGCTGAGTATCACCAGTCTGATGATGACAGTCTTTTTTTCCATAGTGTCTGAATCAGAAGAGGTTGTGTGTGTTCTGAATCAGTATTGGAAGCCACCAAAGGGTGGATGAGGGTTAATAAATCAAGACAAAATCCCAATGCAGTGGAATTTTTGCTAGGCAATTTTGGACTTTACCTCTTCTAAATGGATTGTACTTTCTCAGAATGAAATGTCCAGTTTGTAGATGCTTCTAGAATAATCAATTGGTGATCAAAATACTTCTGTGAGATCTCTGCCTATGACGAGTCTCAGTCAGTATGTCAGGTATAGACTTCACAATCAGGGTTCCGCCATTGGTAATCTGCAGAGAGTAAAGAAGATGACCTGGACAGAGATACCGCGTAGGCAAAAGGGGGTGAAGCATATTTTAAAGTTCAGAACAGTCCGATAACATTCAGAAGTGAATCCAACAGAAGACCCCCTAATTTACTGAATTATAAAGAGGTACTTGCATAATTTGTTATAATAGCCAATCTCAATAAAAGTAATTTTAGCCTTCATCTAAAAACATGGGCCCAAGGTGGCTATTAGATAGACTTGATCAGTCAATGAGGTCATTGAGGAGGTACGCCAAGGACGCTTTCTGGTGGCTGTTTGCAGGCAGCCCTTGCATTGACATTGTTTCCTACTGGAACTTGGGAGGTCAAAATGTGTGTTTGAGGAGCAGCTGGTGCAGAGAAATAGAAACTGCAGCAGAAATTGGTCAGTGGGAGAAAGGTCTTGTATCCCTTGCTTGCTACTGTTTCAGCATTATGTCTATGGAGATTCTCAGTCATCCAGGTCATGGTTACCCCAAAGGTGCTTTTTCAAGAGGCAACTGGACTGTTTCAGTATTAATTTCATTCCTTCACAAAACTGCTTTTCTCTAATAAAAGGGATGTACTGACTTTCGGGATGATACTGGGATGTAAAGACTTTCTGAGCAGTACAAATAAGACCTCCCCCCCTTTTCCCATTAGTCATGTTAATCATGATCTGTCATCAGCCTTTGAAAGAGGCAGTTTTAAGCTATGGAATGTTTTCTCCTTAGACCCATACAGTCCAACAGCAGTTGCAAATTATATAAAATCTGATGCTCATTGCTATTATTCCATCAAAAGGTGAGATCAAATAATGGAATCAGAGGGTAGGAAAGAGCTCCAGGGCTGGAATCCTCAGACTTTCACAAGCAAAAGTTTGCCCAAACTTTGAAAGCCTTGAGCAATTGAGTATCTGTGACTCAGGAGGCAGGCTGTTACACTGCTTAACAGCAATCATGGTCAGGAAATTCCCTATTTCAAGTTTGGATTTCCCTCTTCAATGTTCCTTCCTATTGTTTCTTGATTTATCAGCACTGCAGGGAATAAATTCTCCTTTTCCCTGTAACAGCCTTATTACTTGTCCTTATTAGTCTTTTTTAGGTTGTTGCAGACTTAGATCCTTTCTTTCAGCTGCCTTGGCCAGGCTGCCTCTGTCACTCCACTGTTTCCTGCTGAAGACCATGCTGTGCCTTCCTGTCTTTATCATACAAAAGAAATTAGCATTCGTGTGCATTTGCTTATTCCATTCCATAATACCATTCACGTTAGTTTTTATCTGTCAAGGGAAAGAAAGTAGAAATTCATCACTTCTCCACTTTTCTGTAGCACTATCATATTCGATAGATGTTTTTCCACCATTTGGAGATGCTGACAAGGGGAAAGAGGAACCAAAGCTGGTGGAAAAGCAATAGCAATAGCACTTAGACTTATGTACTGCTCCACAGAGCTTTACAGTCCTCTCTGAGTGGTTTACAAATGTTAGCATATTGCCTCCAACAATCTGGGTCCTCATTTTACCAACTTCAGAAGGATGGAAACTAAGCCAACTTTGAGCCTTGTCAGGATCAAACTCCAAGCTGTGGGCAGAATTTGCCTGCAATACTGCATTCTAACCAGAGCTCAACCAATCAGCTTTGCTTAACGTGTCCTACAGATGCATAATCAGATCTTGGTGTTTGGGAGAGGGTAGGATAGGGATTGGCTATGGAGGCTGCAAATGTCATACTAGCAAATAGTTTGGGCCCAACTCAACAATGAGTAGAGAGTATATCTATATAGCATCAGGAAAAAACTCTTAGATGCTCATTTCTCTGTGTAATGTGTAGGAGAGTTCAGTCCCATTTTGTACAATTGTTACACTGGGTCAGTCAGAGCATACATCATAAATGCAGATAAAAGCAATAGATAGCGGATGGAATGATTTTGTTCTGAATTTTTGGAATGGCCAATTTCTTTGGAAAAGTGCATGTTGTGGCAAGACTTACTTTCAGCGGCATTGAAGAAAGTTTTGGGGGCTGCTGCCAGGCATGTGAGCTGCAGCCTTGCCTCTGGCAACCTGGGTAAATTCCAGGTGGTGCAGGGTGAGTGCTGAAGGGAATGAGATCAGCTTGGCAGCCATGGCAGAGCCTGGGCAGGTCTGAATTGTAGGATCCTCTCAGGTACTTGGAATCTAAGAGTCATGCCTGAACTTGATTGTATGCGTTGGCAGCCGAAGTGAGGATTAGCTGGAGCAGCTGTTGATGATTCTCTGGGTTTCTGACAAATACTGTATGTGGTTATTCTCAGTGAGATGGATAACATGTTGGCTGGGTAGGTGACAGAGATGGAGACATGTATGCTCTTGGGGGGGGGGGTGTTCTTTCTGCTCTGTACTAATATCAGAATTTTCTCCCTTTGCATTAGGACTTGTTCATATTTTGCATAAGGGTACATGTTTAGATACATGCAGTTGCTCAGTTTAAATCCTATTCCTGAAAATAAATCCTAAGATGAATTCATATTATTACGTTGTTAAGAAACTTGCTTGTTTTGCAAATCTTTCTCAATCCATCTCAATATCTTGAAACAGAACGGCACTAGGGCTGAATAATCCATCGGGCAGAGTGCTCATCGCTATAGGGCTCCTAAAGATCTGAGAAAAAGATTTGGACCCAACAAATTTTTATTATATAGATTTATGATTATGCTATACATTTATCTCTTTGGAAGAGGCTTCAGTTATGACTGTGCCCACAGCTTAAAGGATTTCCATCCAGTTCTGCATTATACTACATCTTCTGTGGTTTACCTTATATATTCATGCATAAGCCCATCCACGGATTAGTTGACCCTCAAATTTTTAATTATAATATGAAAAAATGTGCTACCTGTAGATAAGCTGATCCTGAAAAGCTTCATATGTTTTAATTTTCACAATTGGTTTATCTGCCATTGCTGCATTTTTTATAATATTTTGGTTAAAAAAGCAAGGGGGTCTGCTGATCTGTGGATGGGTTTATGCACAAATTTATACAGGATATATGGATATTTTTAAAAAGCTGAGGGGAAAAAATACCACATATATTTGTGGATAAACCCATTCTTGGTTAAGCCAAACCCAGTTTTGGGGAGTATTATAGCACCTAACCTTCTAGGCTTATTAGTGAGCATATATGATATATCTCTAACAGTCACAGCCTTTGCTCTGTAAAATCTCTAGATATTGAAGTGTCAATACTGAGAAATCTAGTAGAGATTCCTGGGGTCTCCACATTCTAAGAACAATCCTGGGATTTCCAAAGACTGTAAATGGCTGGCTAACATTCAACCATTTTGTACATACGGCTATGATGTTTCTTTAATCCTGCTGAAAGTAAAGGCTAAGTCCATCTTAACACATTTGTTCACAATTCTGAATAATTGCTTTCCTGTCCCTTGCTGTACTTTAACCTTACTTCTCCTTTCTTATCGTTTACCTATTGCCCTGCTACTGTTAAATTTTAGATTATAAGATTTCCTGAGGCAGGAAAATGACACAACACATACAATAATACAACATAAAGGTAATTAATATGTTGACTAATTTTATGCAGCAGTGCAAATGATTTTGTTGTTCAGAACTGCTAGGAAGGAAATTTAAATGAGGAGCAAGGTAGTTAGGGATCAAAACTAACTCACTTCCTTACTGTCCCAGTTGTAAGTTACTTCTGTGTTTCAACATGGGAAGGTCTAGTTTTGCTTCCCTCAGGAACTTCTGCATACTAAATTAGGATAGTACTTCTGTTTGGCTGTGTGAGGAAAGAGAAAAGTATTTGGAACTTGGAAAATCCAAAAAAATGAGAAACTAGACAGCCATTTGTCCGAAATGATATAGGGTTTCCTGCCTGAGCAGGGGGTTGGACTAGATGACCTCCAAGGTCCCTTCCAACTTTATCATTATTATTATTATTATTATTATTAATACATGTCTGCTCATCTATATTGCATTATATCAAGGAAGGAAAATCACATTATCATTAGTAGTGTTGCAAATAAGGAGATCCTAATATTTCAATAAATGTAAACTGCACAATAAATCCAATCACCTCTGCCTCTTTTGCCTAACGGTGGCTATTCCATTGCTTTGTCTTCCAGCCTGCAACTGCAATGGGAAGTCCAGACACTGCATCTTCGACCTTGAGTTACTCAGGCGACAGGGAAATGGGTATCGGTGCCTCAACTGTATTGACAACACGGATGGAATAAACTGTGAGCGATGCAAAGAGGGCTTCTATCGTCGGTCTCAACAAGATCGTTGCATGCCCTGCAACTGCAACCTCAGAGGTAGGCAGATACAGATTTAGGAAATGAGGAAAGAAAGAGAAAAAAAGAAGCTCTGATTCATAGGCCATCTCCCTACTTGCACACAAATATGCAAGTAGCATCTTTTTGGGGGGGTCATGTACCCATGACACTGCCTTCATCTTGTCCCCAGCCCATCAGTGAAACAGGCCTAGGGTTAAGGTGGGGGATGCCAGGTGCTGTTAGAGGGATGGATTATTTTTATTTATTGATGTATTTGTCAAATTTATATGGCTGCCGATCTCACATGATGTGACTCTGCATGGTGTACAATTAAATCTGTTATTCAAACCTACTACAAAACCAATTTAAAACAATAAACATAAATAAAACAAGACCACAGGGAACAGAATATTACACATAATACAGCCAAAGCACGGGCCCCCTATTACTAGGGGATCCCCAGACTTGCTGGGAAAAAAGCATGTTTTAATGGCTTTCTGGAAGGCTAACCTTACCTTGAAAGGATGATATTCTGGAGAGTGAGGGCCCCAGCAGAAAAAACTCACCTCCTAGGTCCTCTCAGATATGGAACTGTTTGGCAGATGAGATCCACAGCCTGCCTCTCCTGGTGGATCCGATGATTGCTATTCTCCTGCAATCTTACTTTTTTGTTTATTTTTATTATTTTTATTATTTTTATTGTTTTTTATTTTTATTATTTTTATTATTTTTTATTTTTATTATATTTATTGTTTGAAGAGTTTTCATGTCAGGATATTGTTTAAATTGTGGCTGGTTTTATGGTGCCCAGAGTACATCCAGCAGCTGTGTAATATTGCTAAGTAAATAAATAAATATACTTGGTGATTCACTCAATTCAATCAATAAAATTACATGAGAGGTGATTGTTGGCTTGATAAGTATGGATACTTTAAATTTAAGTCTTTCTCCTCAGCACATGTATGTTAGATTAAACTACTGGTTTATAGTCAGAAATACAGATTTAACTGGAATTACAGAATTATAGTACCAGTACTAGCAACAATAATTATAACAATACAGAAATAAATGTTTTGCTTTATGCTGTTATCTCATATTCAAGCCCAGATTTTTTTTTCCTTTTGTCTATCTTTTTCTAATTCGTTAGTTTGAGTGTGTAGTACTATGGTGGCCAATTAGCAAAATATATATTTGATTGCAATTTACTCATTCCTTTTCTGTACAAACACAATATGGTCTAGTAAGCTGATTATGGATTTTTGTCTCATAGGATGTAATGATGCTCCCAGGCATGACTCAGGCATTCTGAAATTGAAACTGCTCTCGATCCTAATCGAGATGTCAGTAAACATAATTATAAATATTGCCAGTGGGTGGTAACTGACAAACAATATTTATTTTATAACATAGAACATAAACGTTCATCATGATAATCTACTGTTGATCTAACATAAAGGGCCCAGCCTCCAACCTTCTCTAACATTGCTATCACAGTTCTTTCTGAATATTATTTATTGTTGTTATTTAGTTCTGTATCACTCTTCCTCCTAGAGTGGAAACCACAGAGCATACTTGTAACTCTGACATTTTAAGAATAACTTCATCCTTATTCTGCATTTTATGTTATATTGCTTTCATTTTTCTAAAATGAATACTTGTGTTTGTGTCTATTGCCTTGCCGCTGACTGTTTCATTTAACATTTTTGATGCCTTTTTTGTATACTACTTTGATTTGCACTCTAGAAGAAAGAGTGCTACAGAACTAAAATAACAGCAAGGATAACAATAAATAATATATTTCAATAATCCAAATGTGTGATTATTAAGACATAAAACAGTAAGTGAGTCTACGCTAAGATTGGGACACATAGAGCTGGTATACTAGCTGAAGCCAAGAAAGTAGTCCTCAACTTACAACCACAATTGAGCCCAAAATTGATGTTGCGAAATGAGAGTTTTGCCCCATTTTATGACCTTTCTTGCCATGGTTGTTAAGTGAATCATTGTAGTTGTTAAGTTAGTAACATGGTTCTTAAGTGAACCTGGCTTCCTCATTGACTTTGCTTGTCAGAAGGTCACAAAAGCTGTTCACATGACTCTGGGAAACTGGAACTGTCATAAATATGAATCAGTTGCTAAGTGGCTGAATTTTGGTAAAAAAAACCATCATAAGT